TTTCAACTGCATTTTGTTGACTTGAAAGATAGCAAGCGTCTTTACAGCATTGCCTTCTTATAAAGTGGCGCCAAATAATGTCTCTTTACATAAAAACACCAGCGAAGGTTTATTGTGAGATGAAAACAGTCGGTGCGATTGGACAGCGATCCAAAGCCAAATTTGAGACTCGCCCTTTTTCCAACATAAGATTTTTCCTTCATAGTCGCTTCTAGGGCTGGCACAACACTTTGTTTTGATTTAAAGTACCGCTTAAAGAGTGATAAATTATTTCTTGTTACAAATAATGGTTGTAAAACAATTGTTATTTACGGCCAAAAACCTTAATAGTACACTTTAGTCTTACAAACCTATTCAAATGGAACAAAGATCAAATGTTCGAATCATCCCTCCTTCCATGCGTCCTTTCAAAATTCAAGGTCATTGCATTTGAGGCACAACTAAACTGCCTCGCTTCAACATAGCCTCTGATATATGTAGAGCTAAATCAACCTACCTATGACGCAATATAGGTTATGTTTCGTTCAAGTGCAGTAAAAAACGTACACATGGGTGAATGAACTTGTGCATGAATTGAGCATGTATCATAAAGACATGGGAAATCTTTGCTAAGCATGCAAACAGAATCTTCCAATTTATTTTCTAACAAGGCCCTTCTTCCATGAATGAAAGCATTCAACTTTTTAAACTTAAAAGAGGTCGTTGGTATTGTTAATGGCCTTGCTTGAATGATTCTGGGAAAACTTATGCAGCTCTAGATACCATAGTTTTTTAAGTAGAGTTTACAAATCATTTCGGGCAGTGACAGCCAGCTTTCGTGTGGTAGAAAGAGTTTAGAATGTTTAAGAAGTCCAACTGCTTTAGCAATATAAGCAGGACTTTTGCAGAAAATTTAGAAATGTCTAAAAATGCATAATTAACATGGAATATTTCCTGTTACTAATGTTTGTTACTCTTTTTAACCAATTGGTTTTCAACTGTGTAAGATATCCCATCCTACAAATTATGACGAAAAGATTGATTCTATGCATCACATCACACTGATCAGTGCTTTTTATTTAAATAAAGAAAATGCACGGCAACATAAATTATGATCAGACATCAGAATAGTGCAAACTCAAAAAGGTGCTCGACAAGGATGTTGGGTGAGACTGGTGCTTCTTAGCGTTAACAGTCAAATCAACTCGAGAGAAGCATTCGATGTCAGCCATTTTGCAATTAGAGAGGGTAGAAAGAAAATCAATAATCTCAGTTTTTCAAATGAAACAAAGCTGGGTGGATCTAGTCAAAATGAGTTACTTAGCATTCTAAGGCAGTGAAAAAAACATAGGGTAGAGTTGGGTAATGTCTAGGTGAAGAAATGCTTGAAAAAGTTTGGGTTGCATTATTTAATAGCTATAACTTGTTTAATTAGCTGTACCAGGTAAGCAGTGTAAAAACTGTTTAAATTTGCATGTAAGGCACTTTGAAAGTCCTGCTTTGTTAAGGCAGCGACAAGTGCTTTCATTGCTGTGTTTCTATCTGTCTTTGGTTACTGTGAGCAGTGCAAGTTTAAATAAATTCTATTTACCAAGCCTTTTTGGATTGAACGGAGATCCTAGAAATGTTTTCGAGAGCGATCTGATACCAACTTTGAACAATGGAGGATGCAACTGTTGTGCGCGTGTGATTCTTTTGGATCTGTGTCAAAGGGCCTTTATGGTGGTGATGACAGAAAAAAAGCAAAACGAGATCATAGTCTTAGTTGTAAAGCCTTAGTTGTAAACACCTACTGACAATGATTTTGCGGCCTATTGGTAACATAGCTTTGAATCTTTGTCCATCTTTGGCAGAACAAAGGAATTTGGAAGATTTTACCAGTTCTTCCGGCATCAAGTTGCTACATCAAAATATACTTGAACATATTTCTCATAAGTACGATCTCGAAGAGTTTTGCCAAGACCGGGATGTGATAACATAAGTGTCATGGGAATAAGTGAGAGTCATCTTGTACCCAACAATAGCAAGGAACTGTCAGGATATGCGACGAAATACAAATTGGTTGTTTAATTACTCAAAAAAATGAGCATAAACGAGAAAGGGGTGGTGGTGTTGTTACTTATATAAGAAACTCGATTAAACAAGGGACAACTATCTTCTCAAGACAAAGAGGTCTGGGGCCGATAACTATTGGTGCCTCTACAAAAACGCAAGAAGCAAAGTTAATAGACTAATCAACAAATCTAAAGCCAAATATCATCGAAGCTTGCTAAGTGAAAATCCGAGAGACTTTTGGAAGGCTGTCAAACAAGTGTATCCTATGAAAGAATCGTCCCCATCAAATTGAAACGCATTCAAAATTTCTGGGGATTGATAGATAATAAAAGGAACATTGCAAGCTCCTTCTCTGAGTTTTTTCCATCACAGGCTTCAGGTTATTACCCAGTCAATTCATTTGGCAGAATAACAGCGTTATCGTCCAAACGAGTTACGGTTTTAACTTTCGGCAAGTCAATAAACCTGAAGTTCTTCGCAATCTTAATAATTTGAAAGCCTTCAAGTCAACTGGCCCAGATAATCTGACTCCAAGATTTTTGAAAGATGTTGCTGGACCTCTTGCAGGTCCCTTGACTCATATGATAAATCTTTTATTTAAACAATCGACTGCAAGAAAATTTATTGTCAGACTGCAAGAACTTATCACTTACTTCATAAAACATTTAAAATGTATTATGAAACTGTCTTTTTAATCATTTAACTGTCATCTGCCGTTTAAACTGATTTTTTACTCGTATTTTTAATTTTTTCAAATAACCAAAAATAAAAAAGTTCGAAATAGCGAACACTTTTTGTCCAGGGGAAACAGAAAACGGTTCGACATAACGAATATTCGAAATAGCGAGCAGTCGAGATAGCGAACGGTTTTTCTATACGTAACCCTATAGCAAAACCAAGGAAACAGATATTGGTTCGAAATAGCGAACGTTCGAGATAGCGGGCAGTCGAGATAGCGAACGGTTTTTCTATACGTAACCCTATAGCAAAACCAAGGAAACAGATATTGGTTCGAAATAGCGAATGTTCGAGATAGCGGGCAGTCGAGATAGCGGATGTCAACTGTATTTATCAATATTTCTATGAAAAAGATTTCCTATGCGCCTAGAAAAAGCCAATTTCTCTCACACAAAAAAACTGTTTTCTTTCCGCGTTCACTTAGGAAATAGACCTTAACAACTTGGTAATGCAATTTTTATATTTGTTGATTCATTTCGGTTATCTTCAAAGCGTAATTCCAATTCACCTCCAGGTAACCGAATTGTTTCAATGAATTGGTATGAACCATGCGCTGTGGCTTGTTCTACCATGACATGGAAGTTTGCCAAATCAATTTTTATTTTATTTGATATTTTTCTTGAGTCGACTTCTTTAACTGTAATTTGCATATAGCTAGAAAAAGAGTGGCAGGCTTTACGGCTTAGAGCACATTGCTAAAGCGTCGTATGAAAATCATTCCAATTTCGAGGCAATGATTATGGGTCACTTTTTGAAAGTATTTTGCATTCAGACTTGTGTTGTGCTTGTTAAAAGCAACTTTGTTACATTTGGCCACTTTTATCATGTAGCTGAAGGTGAGAATATTGACGAAGAGTCGAAGAACAACGAAGTATTTATCAAACAAGAGTTTTTTACTTGTAGTAGAGAAGAAACTTGTTCTCGTCTCTTAAAAAGAGATCAAGGTGCGAAGAGTTTCACTTTTCATAAAAACAAAGGTGCTGACTGGAACAAAATTAAACAGCCATCGGGTAGGTTTCTTTTGTACTGGATGCATAATGATTCTAATTTTCTTTTTTATTCTTTTCTTCAGGAAGATTGTTATGGTAATATCCGAGTTCAAAAAAGAACCAGGATGTATTTCTAGCATAGGAATGAAATCTTTACAAACCTTAGATTGACCAAAACTATTGTCTATGCAATTATCGCAATGTATGTATACAAAAATTATTGTAGGGGAAAGGGGGAGGGGGGATACAAAGAGGTGTCAACAAGCAGGAAGTCCGGGGTGTCACCCCCCCCCCGGGAAATTTTGATGAACACGCTCTTAAGAACTTGGAAAAGGCTCATTTTGATAATGCGTTTTGGAACGCCATGGCTTTATTTACGTGGCAATGTTTGGCTAATCAAACACAACAACTCTCATATGCAGCTTTTTGCGGCCAACCCCATGCCCATGTTACATGTCGAACTTTATTTTTTCTTCACAACTCCTTTAATGTTGATATTCTGATATGTGTAAGGTGAGGAAGCTCTACGTGTGAAAACTGATTTTTCAAAGTTTTAAGCAAATATAAAATAATAAACAGTATTTAAAATTTTCAAACTGAGTCCGTTATTCTTGGAGTAAAACCTGCGAAATTTAAGACAAGAGTTTAAGAATCAAGGTTTGAAGCATTTTAATTTTCTACTTTATCGGGAAATTTCTATAGAACGCAAGGACTTTTCTGTAACAACCCTAAAACGAGGGCAAATTGTATAACATTCTGTAGAGGTGCAGACGAGGATTACCTGCGAGCAGAAAATTTTAGGGACCACGCCCTTAACATTAGCTTAAAATACATTCCAGAATATTTCTTAACCACGATTGCTTGCAGTCTTTTAAAACGTTTCAATTTTCTCTGAACCAGCCTCCCTCCCTTCAAACCCCCGAGGTACATCTCTGTATATATTGAAAAATTCGTGTTAATAAGATTTCAAGAACCTCTACAGCAATGCTCAACAACCCCAGATTCAGCTGTATGCGTTTTGAAATGATTTTGTTCATTCCATAGATTGCAAAGATCTCTACGACAGTGGTAAGAAAGAAAGTGGCGCCTACCACATAACCAGACCGAACAAGCAAGTATTGAAGGTTTACTGTGATATGGAAACAGACGGTGGAGGTTGGACTGTGATTCAGCGCCGTATTGATGGCTCAACCGACTTCAACCGTGGCTGGTCTGATTATAAGCATGGCTTTGGCGATGTTGAGAAAGAAATGTGGATCGGGTTAGAGAACATGCACTCTCTTGCCAGCCCTAGTTCTAACACAACTCTACGCATAGAGTTGAAGCATTTGCTTAAAGGTAATCAATCGCTTTTTGCCAAATATGGTAGCTTTAAGATTGCTGACGAAAGTGATGGATATCGTATTAGTCATTCTGACTACAGTGGAACAGCGGGCGATGCCTGCAATATGGACCCTCCTGCTGTCAGAATGAATGGCATGAGGTTCTTTACAAAGGATTTTGACAACGACTTTGGTTGTAGTGTTGGTTTTCAGGGTGGATGGTGGTTCAACAGGTGTCACAGCTGCTATCTTAATGGATTGATCCCGTATAAGCCCAGTAATGAACCAACATTTATGTCTTGGAAAAGTATTGACTTGGATTGGGGCAACATCTACTTTTCTGAAATGAAGCTTAGACGTAACTGAGCGTCCTAAGACCTTTGTGACTCTTTAGATAACAAGATTAGTTATACAGGATATATTAAACCTTTTACTTTATGTAACCAGCCAATTAGCATTTCGTATTTTGTGATGGGGTTGTATGCCAGTTTATTTCTAAGTTGCTTGTAGCTTAGTTGAGAATTTGAATAAGATTGAAATCATGCACTTGAATGTTTTTTTCTATTGAACTTAAACGCTACACAAACAATCAATTTCAATGTGTATTAACTGTCTCCCTCCCCTCAGCGGCCCAGATGATGAGATGGCAATTTGCCAAAACGACTTAAGATAATTGCATTTGATCTCATTCTTGTTTCGATTTCTTTGTCCGAAATTTGCACAAAGTTAGAACAAGAGTAGCAAGTCTCATTGCTTAGAACACATTGCTAAAGTGACCTATGAAAATCAATCCACTCTTGATACGATGATTATGGGTCACTTTTTAAAAGCATTCTAAATTCAGACTTATATTGTGCTTGTTAAAAGCAACTTTGTTGCAACTGGCCACTTTTATCAAGCAGCTAAAACTAAAGATGTGGATGAAGACCTCAAAAACGACGAAATATTTATCAAACAAGAAATTTTCAATTGTAATAGAGTAGAGACTTGTTCCAGTCTCTTTAAATGAAGACAAAGTGCGAGGAACTACATCAGTCAGGAAGATGAAAGTTACAACAGTGTGTGGAACAAAATGAAACAACCATCGGGTGAGTATCTTGTCATTTATTCGCAGAATCAAAAACTAAATTGCGGAATTGGAAGTATAACTTTCTCTGCTAAGCTATATTTACACTCTCTGTTTGTATTTGACGCTAACCCTAACGAAAATCTGATGCTAAAGTGACAGTCTAAAAAAGGAAGAGCTTCAGCTGTACAAGAAGCTTAGGATCTCTAGCGGAGGGAAAATACTTTTACAAAATTAGAAATGACAAAACCTTTTAATTTATGTATTCATTACATATTTGTATTTATTAATTTTTATTGAATAGATTGGTATACCCTTTAAGTGAATGATGGATTTATGCATTTGAAATATTTTTATTAATCGAATAGATTGCAAAGGTCTCTACGACAGTGGCAAGAAAGAAAGTGGCATTTATCACATAACCAGACCGAACAAGCAAGTTGTGAAAGTTTACTGTGATATGGAAACAGACGGTGGAGGTTGGACTGTAATACAGCGCCGTATTGATGGCTCAACCGACTTCAACCGTGGCTGGTCTGATTATAAGCATGGCTTTGGCAGTATCGAGAAAAATATGTGGATCGGGCTAGAGAATATGCACTATCTTGCTAGCCCTGATGCCAGTACCACCCTTCGGATAGAGCTAAAGCACTGGCTCAGGGGTGACAAACTATTTTTGCTAAATATGGTAGATTTGCGACTGGCAATGAGACTGATGAATATACTTTGCATGTTTCTAGGTATTCTGGTACTGCAGTTTTAACAATTTTAGAAATATCGGCGCGCAGAACAACGGAAATAAGTTTAGCACAAGCGATCGTGACAATGACTTAAACGTTGTGGAAAACTGTGCTGCTAGCTTAGGAGGGGGTTGGTGGTACAGCTCCACAACCACCACCCAGCTTAAAGGATTGTATCCCGAATCACCGGATTCAGGAGAGCGATACATGCAATGGTCAGACTTAAGCATATTGCAAGGTAACATAAAGTACTCCGAAATGAAGGTCAGACGAAACTAAGCAAGACATCGGCCTTTAGAAAGGGTATCGTTGGTGAAAGAACGTTAACAGAATCAGTACAATTTGTGCTATTCACTTTCTTTCAATTCACAATCTCAACAATAGAACCTCATTTGATTCTTCTAAAACTTTAAATACGAAATGTATGCCTATTTATGCTTTTAGAGTAAATTTAAGGGAAACTATTGAAGTAAATATGATTCAATCCTTGTAATTTTTCTGCATTTTTCTGAACCAAAAAAGTCTTGATTTAAGATAAGAATTCTCAATTTCTAAAAACAGACTATGCCTGCCAATGGTAAATTTTAACAGCAATGGTACAATTCATGTCTATTGTCAAAACAGAACAGTAAAAGAAATTTACATCCAAGCTATCGGTCACAATGCACAATAGTTTAAATAGAACTAGGCATTGACCCAGATTGAAATGTGTTCATTTATGCCAATTTTTCACCAACGAACTTTTAAGGTCCTTTAGGAGAATAACAAAAGGCACAGGTATCCATGTAATATTATTGCTACGAGCTCAAGGACAGGATTCGTTTTCTACTTCGCCTGGAAATAAGTTCTTTAGTCTATATATTACTGAATTTATTTAGTCCAAGGAGAAAGAAGAAGAGAAGAGTCTTTGAGAAGATTACAATAGAGTTTCGTATGCAACTGTGATAATGATTTCAAGCTGTTGTTACACTTGAAGTTGGATAAATAGTGTGTACTGAATTTCGAGGCATTGCGTCATAATTTAAGCAATAAGCTTTTTTTCGTACTGAGTCAACGTCATTCTGAAAAACTTGAAATATTATTCCTTATCGTCGACGGAAACAAACAGAGCTTTAGGGCCTCCCTTTAGCCCCGTGTTTATGCAAAAATTACCTCTTCTCTAATTTTTGCTATCCTTTTTTATTTATTAAGTTTTTCCATTTCGGCGAGAAGTTTAGATTTCGAGAAGATCATGATTGCCCTATGTACTAAAGTTTAGACAAGGTTGCGTTGTTTCGAGCAAAACGAATTCCAGCGTATGTACTGACCGGTACAAGTGGAAAAATTTTAAATGATCTTTCTGAACAACGGTTATCAAGAAAATATAATTTGCTTATATTGAGAAGAGGATGGCAAGTTTTTCGGCTGTTTGAAAGCTTGATCCTCAAAAGTGCCCAGTTTATCTGAAAGGACCATGGATTGGTAACACTTCCTTGCGATTCGAGAGTCAGATAAATCAAGTAATCACGTAATGTTTCTTTGCTGTCAATCCCCGTATTGTTTACAGCACTAGAAGAGCCCTTCCATCCATCCAAAAGGATTGCAGTCCCACTAACGAAAACCGTCCCGTTGTTTATGAATTTACGTGCAACGAGCCAGTGTGATTCTGGCTACGTAGGACGCACAAAGCAAAGACTGGGGACTGGGGAATAGGATAAGAAAACATACTCCTTCCAACGATGTCTGTATATTTTGTCAAAGTTGATCATGGAAATAACTTGAAAATTAAATTTGACTGAAATTCTAAAATGGAAGAAAGGAGAGAAGCCTAAGTCCAACAAGTAAACATATTCTACTAAACTTGTCTGCATAGAGATAGATGGTTGATCTATAGATAAGAAATTTGGAGAATTTTCATTAAGTCAGTCATAAAAATAAAAGAGAAAATTATATTAATTTAAAAAATTGGGAAATAGGGAAGCGACCATGGGGCTGAAATATGTCACAGTTGAAAGGTTTTGTTAAAAAATTTCAATTTTAAAAAAACAGAAGGAGTGAAGGAAAATTGATTGCAGGATTGATGCTGGGCTATAAATGACAATTTAGATGATACCAAATAAGAATGAAGATGCCCCATCAAATATTCTCTTTTAGATTTAGCTTCCATGAGATATGACCTAGGCCACGACGTGTCAAACTCAAGCAAAAAAGAAAAGACCAAAATGAAAACAGAATCCAAGTAATGACCAAACAAAATGAACATTCATCGAACAAATTTAAAACTGGCGGTACTGCAATATGGAAATTGAATTTAGATTGCCTAGCCAAAAGACATATTTCAATCTAAACATAATATTAAATCTTAATTTATTGAGAAATCGCAATCATTGACATTGACAAAATCTTACTTGCAATTTAAACATTTTTCGCTAGCCATATGTGATCATACCAGGTCCCGGACGGGACCAACGGTCACAGCTTTACCATTTTGGCCTAGGCAAGATTAGAGTATAGAGTGTTATCGGTAAATTGCATCTAATGAATGGCATCAGTTGCTCTTGGGAGCTGATAAGAGATTCTAATGATACAATAAGAACAAGTTTGAAGAAAATAAACTCACATGGCTGGTCAAATGGTCACTTGATGTGATATCCCGACACTATCGGATTGGTTCGAAATCAAAGAAATCAAACAATGGCAAATGAAATTCAAAGGCAGGCTCTTCATCAAATAAAAAAGAAACACGAGGGACCTGATCTAAAAAGATGTCGGCAAAACGTGAATTGTGACCATGTTTTCGAAACCTGATACAAGCAACAAAAATTACATCTCATTTTCAGTTTAAAACAAACTTGCTGCCATAAGAAAGCCATGTTGAGAATTGCACACATGCAATAGCGTCGAGAGATAGGGTACCCAGGGTAAAGTCTCGTAGCCCGTCGCCTGGGACGCTGGAAGAACCCGCGAAAAATAGTCTTAAACAAGCCTATGCTGTTTATAGCTTCTGGACCAGCGCTTGCTCTCGACCGGCCTACTCACAAGAGACTACAAAATTTATTCCATTCAAAAATTGGGCAAAAAATACTTGTAAATAATCAAAGTGAGATATTTTCGAAGTAAATATAGGAAAATAATTTGAAAATATCTTATTTCAAATCTCCATATAGAAAAGAACAGCGCAGCTAGAAAACTAGTCACTGCGTAACTTTCTCCAAATTGCGTTTCCTAATAGGTAAACGGAAATGATTGGGCAAGCTAAAAAGTCATGTGCTCGCGTTTGTGGATCGCCTATTTCGATCCACAACTGGGTATATATATTTCCTGGCGTAGAGTTTTCGGTTTATGTTCTGACATTTTATACTCTGAATAGTGTCAGACGGAAAGCTTTAGTATCATGTTTAAAAACGCTTTTTTATTTCAAAGCGATTTTTCTCTGAATGTTACAACGTATATGAAAGGAAAGTTTTCTCAATGCAGAGAGAATAATCACTGAGCAAAAATTCATACGTAGATATAAATACGCGTGATTATTCAGCTATGCGTCGCCCACAAAACTAAGAAGCTTGTTCAACGCATTTAATTGAACATATTACATCTTTCTCTCTCCCTAAACGTAAAAGCAACCAGTAGCCTTTGCAACTCTTCAGTAAAAGAATGCAAAGAGAAAGCTATGACCTAAACAATTTTGTCTGGAAGACGGCAGCTGTGCAGCTACTTGGTTTCAACCAAGAATGATCAAAACGTATTTCAACTGCATTTTGTTGACT